CAGGTTGTGTCCAGAGAAGGGAACAGAGCTGGGGAAGGGGCTGGAGCACAAGTGTGATGAGTAGCAGCTGAGGGAGCTGTGGGGGATCAGCCTGGAGATAGGGAGGCTCAAGGGGAACCTTCTTGATCTCTGCAACTCCCTGCCAGGAGGCTGTAGCCAGGTGGGGTCAGGCTCTGCTCCCAGTGATAGGACAAGAGGAAATAGCCTCAAGTTGTGCCAGGAGAGGTTTAGGTTAGATATAAGGAAAAATTTCTTCACCAAAAGGGTTGTCAGGCATTGGCATAGGATGCCCAGGGCTGTGATGGAGTCACTATCCCTGGAGGGATTTAAAAGCTATGAAGATGTGGCACTTGGGGACATGGTTAGTGGTAGCCTTGGCAGTGCTGGGGAAATAGCTGGAGTCAATCTTAGAGATCTTCTTCAACCTAAATAACTCTTTGTTCTGTGACAGCCACTGATGATGTAAAATCATTCATTTTCTCCTATTTACACAGTCTCTCTCTCCTCTCATCTCTGGATAGATATGGATCGTGGTAGCCTCTTTTCACCCCAGCCCTTGTGCTGGGAACTCTATATTGAGCTGTTTGTTCAAAGCAAGCTACCTGAAATTTGCTATTTCTGATGTAAAGGTCAAGGAGAGGAAACAAAAAATAGCTTAAAAATAATTCCTGACAAAATAAACCACCAGAAAAAAAGAAGAAGAAGGAAGAAATTGGGATGAGGAGAGACAGGAATGTCGTCAGAACCAGCTCAGCTCCTGCACAGCATCGCTGGGAACGTCACGAAGGAGGCAGAAGGACAGAAGCAGAGAGCAAACACGACTGACTCACATCCCTCCTCTCAGCCCTCTGCTAACCCCCACTTTTTCAGCCTGAGAACTTACACCGAGGCAGCATATTTTCAAACGTGCCCCAAGAACACATTGTCAGAAGTTTCATGAATGAATAAACATAAAGAAGGCCAAGGCCAAGGCTATGAATATTTAATTATTGACTGACTGCAGAGACCCAGCCTGTTTGCTGCTGGCTCTCTGCCTTCTGGCTGTGGAGCTGGAGGGAGCAGAGACTTGAACCAGACACCAGCAGGGCTGGAGCTCCTCTAGGACCCACCTCAAGGGCCACAGCTCTGTCCCTGGGGCAGGCAACAGCCAGTTTAGCCTCTGGGCCTTAGAGAAATTTCCTTGGCTTTACCTGGCTTTCCATACCATGTTTGCAGTTTAATCAGAATTTAAGGAAAATGTGATACTTGTTATAAAAACACTCAAAAATTCTGATTTGGTGCCATAGACACAAAAAGGTTTTGCTTAAAATGAAAAGTCACAGAATCACAGATCACAGACTGGTTTGGGTTGGAAGGGAGCTTAAAAATCATCCAGTTCCATAAGCAGGGACACCTCCCACTAGCCCAGGTTGCTCCAAGCCCCATCCAACCTGGCCTGGAACACATCCAGGGATGGAGCAGCTACAGCCACTCTGGGTAACCTTTGCCAGTGCCTCAGCACCCTCACAGGGAAGGTTTCCTTCCCAATATCCTGTCTAAACATCAACTCCAACAAGTCTGGTAACAAATTCAGTGAAAGCAGCAAACCCCTCAGAAGGACTCAGTGCCTGGGGAGACCTGGGGAGTCAGCAGGACCCTTCCCAATGACCCAGCAAGGTTGGGTGGAACCCACAGTGAACAAACTCACAATTTTCCTATTTGAGAGAGCTGTAATCATCTGTAAATCACATTAACCCATCAGTTCTTCCTTCCTCATGGCATCACATCCCTTCCACCACCACCTGGAGCCGCACAGGGAGCGTGGGGATGCAGTCTACACCCAACCATGTCTAACAGCAGGACATAAAAGGCTTTTCTTTATCTCCAAACCTCCAACCAGCACTAAATTTATGGCCTGTGGCATACACAAATCAGGGTGGGAAGTGCCTGTGTGGACCTGAAATCACATAAAGGCTGACATGCAGAGAAGCATTGGCCTGCTGGCATGCACAAATCAGTTACTAGGGAACACAGCAGCGAGGAGAGAGATCTACAGAATCAATAAGCAGAGGCTCTGGTGTGCAAACAACAGCCACAGTGGCAGGACTTGGGGTGGCAGGGACAGGGGACAGCACACACTGCTCTGTGTGCCTCGATCCAGTGTGAGTGTGGTTATCTCCCCACCTCTGAGCAGGCATGGGATGAGAGGTGGTAGGATAAAGCCAGGTGTTCTCTGTTGTGAGTGTCCCTGTGAGTGTGCAGTGTGACACCAGCCCTGCTGAGCTCACTGGTGGGTGGATGGAAAGGAAGAAGAGCAGCAATTTTCCCCATGCAGCACAGAGGGATTTGGAGCAGTACAGAAGCACTAAACAAGAATCAAACAGATGCAACTTCCTTTTTATTTTTTCCTGCCTTTAAACTTTCAGGGTCTGGTGTTTAGGGGATGGAGTCTGACACTGGCACAGGGTCAGCAGGCACTGGGGACAAACAGTGGCTTCAGCAAGGTCACCCTGTGATGCCTGAGGCTGCTCTTTCCAGCCCTAATAGGCAGAAACAAATTGTCCTGTGCCTCTTATCATCTCTGTCTTGAAATCCTGGTGTCCTAGAGCACTGTCCCAGCTGCCTCTCACCACAACTTTGTGCTGATGAAGCCACAGGCACTAACATCCCCAGGATATGGCTGTGTACCCCTGGTTGGGTGTGCAGGCAGAACAGCTATGAAGTGCCAGCCCAGAGGAGTATCCTCCACTCTAGGAGAGAGGGACAGTCTGCAGGGAGCTTCCAGCAGCAGCTCTTACTTCTTGCTGCCTGAGGAACACTCTGATATCTCTCTGGGTTGCTCCCACAGATCCCTAGTACCCGAGTGACCCTCTCATATCCCAGGGGCCAAACTCCCATTTTCCTGCTAAGGATCTGAGAAAGAGATTAAGGCTTGTTTTGATGCAAACCTCCAAGTGCAGCATTTTCATTCTGTGTGAGAAACAGGAGTCTGCAGAGCACAGTTAAGCAGTGGCATTACCTCCCCAAATACCTCCTTGTCCACCAAGGGAACCCTGGCGACCTCAGTGCCCAATGAGCTGCAACGTCTTGTGCTGCAGCAATTTGAGGGACAGGATGTGTCTGTCCCAGCCCAAATCACAGCCCTGTCCACCAGACTGTCCCCATGTCATGCTATCAGCCTTAACAGATTGAAGTGACTGTATGGGGCCACTGGAGCAAAGCTGAAGGCTTAGCCCTAACCTCCCCCGGACTGATAGATGGAGGAATCACAGAGCCATAGAATAATTTGGAAAAGACCTTTAAGATCATTGAGTCCAAGAAATGTATCACTCCACAATCCAGAGGGGATCAGAGAGGATTACCCCTTGATCCTCAGCAGTCCAGCACCATTCCAGAGGATTGAGAGAACATTATGGAGTTCAACATCCATCAGGTCTCAACTGACACAAGGAGCAGGAAAAGAATTGTCTCTCAGGGCTCATGGGATTGCACTGGAGGAAGCAAAAAGGGCACAGTGTGATTGCAGGGAATTGGGTGATTTAGAGAGAAAAAACACACCAGAATAGAAACCCTGAGTGATGATGACAAATACTGCAGCCTGAGGAGTTTGAGTTTCAGACAGGCCACATTCATGAGCAGCGGAGATACACCCCATGGTTTCCTTGACGACCTATTTAACTGGTGAACACCCTAGGACATACAAAATTTTAACTCCAAATTCCTCTTGCAGGAATAGTGAGGTCCCAGGATGTCCCACCCTGTCCTGAGGCCTGGTACACCAGGGAGGCTGGAGGAGTTTGGAGGTGATATATGTGTGTATGCTCATGGTAGGATGAATGAGGTGTAGGATCTCCCTTTACAAGAGGTCTGCAGCAAACCTGCAGCCAACTCTGGACCAATGCAGACTCAGACAGGCCCAGACAAACCACAGAGCATCCCTGAGGAACCTGTTTGCCTATGGAAAGAGTTGGATGCAACTGGAGGTCACACCAAGTTAGGCTGCTGATAGATCAGCTCTGCTCTATCCCAAGGGTGATCCTGCTGGTTCTCCCTGTTAACACATGATCCCTGTGAATGCCAATGCTGCAGGAGGCAGCTGCACACACCTGCTCCCACTGCAGTGAGTTGGCCTCCAAATGTGCCCTGCAGGCAGGCTGAGAGCACCTTCTGCACAGCACTAGCTCCAATCATAATGGCTTTGGATGCAGGAAGAGGCACAGGACCAGGATATTTAATAGAAAACTCTTCCCTGCCAGCTTAGGGAGGTGAGAGTGACTTTCTTATGAGCACAGACTGTGGGTGCTGATCCTGGTTAGTCTAGAGAAAAGAAGACCGGGAGGGATCTCATCAATGCTTATAAATGTCTCCAAGGGGTGTCAGAGGGTGGTGCCAGACTCTGTTCAGTGGTGCCCAGTGACAGGACAAAGAGTAAAGGCCATAAACTAAAACACAAGAAGTTCCACCTCAACATGAGGAAGAACTTTCCCTGGAGGCTGAGGAGCACTGGAACAGTTGCCCAGGGTGGGCATGGAGTCTCCCTCTCTGTAGACATTCCAAGCCCACCTGGATGCATTCCTGTGTCACCTGCTCTAGGTGACCCTGTCTTGGCAGGGGAGTTGGACTAAATGATCTCCAGAGATCCCTCCCAACCCTAATGATTCTGTGATTCACCTGCCAGGTCTGGGCTGCACCCTCATATGTCCACACCAACAACACCCCTGGGCTGTCTCAAAGGGCAGAAATCAGGTCAAGGGATGTGCTAAGGCAGAAGGCAAGTACAACCTACTCCAGAACCTATAAGGCTGCATTTTTCTCTGCTCCAACACCTTGCTCCCCCCAGGTTTAGCATCCACAATGACCAAAGAACCTGCCCTGAAAAGCCATCTGAGAAATGCAGTGCTCACTTGTCCAGAACAGCCCTGTTTGGCCAGGGCAGAGGGGTAGGAAGAGCAGCAGGTACATGCTGACCTGGCCCTGTGCAGCTCTACTTCCCACCCAGCCCACTCTGGGGTGACTCTTACCTTCAAGCCAGTGCTCTCTGCCTCAGAGCCTTTATCCACACCAGTGATGTAGATGCCCAGGGAATATTCTGCCCCTCCTCGGATCATGAGCCCCAAAGATTTCCCTTCATTCAGGACCAGATTCACCTGCATAGGAATAGGAAGAGTCATTTGTATGGTGCCTAAGTGCTGTCAAAAGAGAGGCAGGACACCCAGGCAGCTGGAACATAGGATAACTGCATCCCTGCTGTACCTCTTGGCTGGAGTGGGCAGTGGGACTGAGGGGGCATTAGGAACACCAAAAGGCAAAGCCACTTCTGGAGGGCTGAGAGGGTTCAGCTACATGAAGGGCAGCACATGTGGCCTGGTGGATTTCAGCCATAAACCAGGGCAAGAGCTGGTGGTTTTCCACTCTCCTTTTCCAGGTGCATCTCCAGTGTAGAGACTAAGTGACAGCCACCCCCCAGAGCCTCATGGGCACTGGTGGAGTGATGCCAGCCAGAACTGCCTGCAAATTCCCCTCTAGAATCCCATGCTCTGTGTAAACACATGATTACAGAGCAATGATCCCCTCCATCCAAACTGGGAATCAGCCCAGTCCAGCCCTCTGCCCTTCTTTGTACAGCAGTGACTGATGAGCCACTCCAGGCACTTCCCCTCAGGAAAGGGTATGGAGAACAGGCCACAAGGCAAACACCACAGGGGGAGAAGATCCCACCAGGGCCCAGGCTGGTCCTCATATACCTCCACATGCCCAACCATCCCCTCACAGAGTCACTGCTCTGTGCTGGTGGCAGCTCCACAGGACAGCTGGGCACTCACCTGCCCAAGGCATGGGAGGCACTCAGAGCTCCTCCACACAGCTCTGCCAGGGGAGGTTTAGGTTAAATATTAGGAAGAGATTTTTTACAGAGAGTGCTCGGGCATTGAAATGTGCTGCCCAGGGAGGTGGTGGATTCACCATCCCTGAGAGGTTTTCCAGATGAGACTGGATGTGGCACTTAGTGCCATGGTCTAGTGACCATGGTAGGGTTGGACCTGATGATCTTGGAGGTCTTTTCCAACCCAGCTGATTCCATGATTCTATGTACCTGATTATCTCTAATTAATAATGCTTGGACAGATTTTCCATCCATCCAGCACACTCTGCAACAGACATTTCACATTCCCCTCACCTCCCTGACAGGCTGATGTCCCTCACAGCATCTGGAGAGATGTTCTCCCCACCACGGCATGCCAGAGCCATTAGCCAGCTTCCACCTGCCTTCTTCCACCCTCTCCTCCTCTGAGGGGCTGATACCTATGGATGTTTGGAGAGAATTTGGAGTGCATGAGCAATCCTGTGTTCAGTTTCTTTGAGGACTCTCAATTTTAAAAGGCCTTTGTTCACTCACTGCATGACACTTTCTAAATGAATAACTCCAGGGTTTGTTTTTGTGCTTTGGTCCCAAGTTTTAAGTCACTTCTGGAGAAAAGCAGACAGCAGGATGAGACAAGCCAAAATGTGTTTCACACTGATAGAAACAACCAGAAACAGACTGTTTGTGAATGGGGTTTATATTTAAAACCCTTCACTGCAGTCAAACCAAAATCTTGTGCATTTAGTTGGATGGAGAAGTCATTTCCAGCTTCTAGCCACTAATTAATCCTCCTTTCTAGTGGGCACAGCATCACATAGGGAATTCAGCCCAAGGTTAGAGGGGCTGGTATTGAAAACCCATTTTCCATCTTGGTGGTGGTGCAGCAGCAGCACAGAAATTAGCAGCAGGACATAAATCTACGTAAGGCAAATACACTCCAAATTTTGTACTTTATGATCCCAAATTTTGTACTTTGTGAAATGGATGCCAAACTTTTGTATAGCCACACTCCAGGACTGATTGTGCCATGGAAAAACAGAGATGAGAACATTAACTACCTTCTCTAATCATCCTTCTCTAGGGCTGCACAGCCCTCATGTTCCCTGGTTTAGTCCTTCCCCTGCTTTAAAGTGCAGAAAGTGCTGGAAACAATATTAGGATTGAAGCATTCTAAAGGAATTATAAAGAGACCTTCACACTTCAGGCTGGAGAGGAGAGTTGGGCACTGAACGCTCCCAACAGAGCGTTTGCCTGTCAAAATCAAGGACAGTTTAGCTTTTTCTTTACTTGGAAACATTGCTCTGAACATAGAACAATTCACTGAATGTATTTTAAAGCCAGATAAATATTCAAAGTTTTCAAAGTCCTGTTTTTTCCTCATCTGACTAACGACATTTAGGGTTTCCCTTCTCTAAGTTCTTCTCCCTACGCTCAAAAATTCCCCAATGCTGGGAAAAATACAAGTAGCACAAAAGCAGCAAAGTGCATGGAATCACAGATCAGGTCAAAATAGACTGGGAATGGCAAAACCTCCTCTGAACAACACATACAACTAGAGTTCACAAGAGGAGGGGCAGCTCCGTATCCAGACATTTCCATTTCCCTTTAACACTATCCCAATGGGTTGGTAAGTGGAGAAGCTGCTCTCCCCACAGGGATATCATCAGATGGAGTAAGAGATACTCCCTCTCCCTCTCCACCTGAGGTGCTGCCACGTGAGCTGGTTTGTTTACACCTGCACTGGGCAAACCTGGGTGCCCAGGAGCACAAAGCAATGGATACAGCCCTGAGCCATGAAGGACTGAAACCTCTCCCTGCAAACCCAAACTGCATGGAAATACCTAAGCGTGGCTTAAAAATCCATCGCTGCTGGCAGCCCCAGAAAGTGGTGTTGCTGAGGGTTTAATTGCATTTCTTAATCAGCTAATAGCTGAGCCTCTCTGAGCAAACCCTGCAGCAGCACTACACAACCTGCTAGGAAGAGAGAGGCAGCAGCAGGAGCCAGGGAAATAAGCACTCAGAGCATCCAGATTATTGACAGGCTGCACATTTTGGGAATGGCTGGGAAATAGAGTGAGAGCTCACAGGCAGAGGGCTCAGTTGGATCAGGCTGGGGAGTGAGGGAGGCAGGAAGGAGGAGCAGAGACATAAGCTGATTGCCAGGATGAGGCAAAAGCTGAGCCACTCCATGTTAAGGGCTTAGGGGACTATTTAGCACTCTATTTCCCATGGGCTTCTGTCTCCAATGATGGGCAGAGATGGTGTCAGGAGGGGTTGGCCCTGCCGTGCCACCTGCCCCAAGCACAGCATCATCCTCACACACTGCTGAAGGCACCTCCCCACACCACGAGCTCCCACTGCACACTCTGGGGCAGGAGGGAGGCTGCAGGGTGACACTGAAGCACAACTCCAGCTGTGCTGTCCAAGGAAACCTGTGCTAAACTTGTTCCCTGTTCCCAGACTGATGCCCCAGCACTGTGACTCAATCCTGCACGGTGGAAAATGCCAATCCAGGGCCCCACTGGGAACAGACACCCAATGCAGCATTCTCTGGAACAAGTTTTTCTGTTTGGGCTTTTCCACTCAGGTTTGTACACATATGGTTACACTTCTGTGGCAAGTCTTGTCTCTAACAAGGGCATTTTGGTTCCATTTACACTTTAGGCTTCCTCTTCTCCTCCCTGTTCTGTGGCCAGGCTGAAGCTCAGGCAGAGTAAGAAGATGTAGCATAACTTAGGGGCTAATATCAGGGAGAGATGGGATCACTCCAAGCTGCTAAATCCACAGCTGTTCTAACACCATCCTAAAACAGAGGCATCAAGCAAAGGCAGCTATTCCTTGGAGGAAACTGAGGACATCACAGAATCCCAGAATGGTTTGGGTTGGAAGGATCTTAAAATTCATCCAGTTCCACTCCCTGCCATGGGCAGGGACACCTTCCACCAGCCCAGGTTACTCCAAGCCCTGTCCAGCCTGGCCTGGAACACTCCCAGGGATGGAGCAGCCACAGCTGCTCTGGGCAACCTGTGCCAGTGTCTCAGCACCCTCACAGGGAAGGATTTCTTCCTAACATCCAATCTAACTCTACTCTCCTTCAGTTTAAAGCCATTCCCCTTGTCCTATGACTGCATGCCCTTGTAAAAAGTTCCTCTCCAGCCTTCCTACAACCCCTTTAGGTACTGGAGGCAAAGTAACATCCAGACAAGGTCACCCCTTGCACATTGCTGGGTATTCCCAGGCTCACAGCACACAGCCCCCACCTCCTCCCCTGTGCCATTCCAAGGCTGTGTCCAGCCCCAGGCTACTCCTGTGTGCAACACACAGAAGCAATTGGAAGATCAAGGTCACAGTTTTAATTTCAATTTAACACTGAAACATCTGCCATCTCCTGTAGCAGGAAATAAAGGAAAAAACCACCATCATCAGTGAGGCATTTACTCCGGGTTGATTCTTGCACAGGATTTCTTCTCTCTGGGTTTATGAAATTACCTGTTGACAGATTCAATTTTACCATTAGCAAAAGCTCTTTCAGGCACGAATTACTCCACACCAGTAGGACTCAGCACACAGCTGTGTGCGTGGCTGAGGAGGCTTCACCCATGCCGACAGCTATTTCCATGTCATTACTGCTACCACACAACAACAAAAACAACACTTAAGGAGGCTCACAGGGCTCATCCTCCTCCTGCTTCCCAAGGAAACCCCACTGGCTTGTGTCTAGACATCTGCATGGGA